TTTTTTAGCTTTATTTTACTGTGCCTATTTACTTTGGATTTTAAAGTTCTTTAGATAAACCGTGAAAAATACAAAAAAGAAAATGATTCAAATAAAAATTAAGCGTTAAAAATTAGTTTCCCGATGATCAATATGAGACCGGGAATCTTTCGTGGGAAGATTCCCGGTCACAAAATGATTATTATAAATATGGTTAATCACGTGTAAAAAATAATGATGAAGGTAGTCATGAGTGACACTTAATGCGACAGGGGATTAGAAGTATATATGACACCGAAGAAGTTTTTGCAAGTTCATTAAAACTTGAGATCGTAATGATCTAGATGGTTATGCTACGATAATAAACAAATCAAGACTACTTCATTTACCTATTGATGTAACTGTCGCTGTGAACTTGAAAGAAGGATAAAAAAAAAGATTTTTATTATGCAAACACCTTGTTAATCCTCTTTGGAAGATGGATGCATCATATTTTCGAAAGGTGTGTTATTATATATTTTTTTTTAAAAAAAAATTTTCAATCTAATCTTATTTTAATTTAGGTGCAACGAAATTCTCAGTATCCTTTTATTCCGGAAGCTTAGGAAACTTTATGGGACAATATTCGACCAACTTTAATTAATCACACACAAGATAATTTAATGATTGACCTTGTGAATCCGAAAATGAAAACATATATAATGAGGAATCGAGTACTGAAGATAGTGAATCCGAATCTGAAATTTTAAGAAAGTGCAAAAAAACTCTTTAGAGGTATAAAGATTTTTTTTATTATCACTATATTTTCATGTTTATATAAATATATTTTATGTTTTACTCGATTGTCTTGAAAAATCTAATAATCTTCCCAAAAAAAAAAAAAGGCTTCGAAGCATTGAATCAAAATTTAAACCTATCCAAAAAATGGTGGATGACATTAAAGATTTTGAACGAGCAAAAAAGCTTCCAAAAACTTAGAGCGGTCGTAACAAAACCATATTTTTACTGTTAGCATTTAAATTTATACGTGTATTGAAAAAAATACTTGAATTAAATGTAAATGCATTTAAATATTTGAATTGAAAGTAATTCGACTTAGAATTTGCAGTGGTAATTATGTAAATTATAATAAAAAATTTTAATAATAATACATAATAATAATAAATTCGAAAATATCGTGATTTTGTTATTATTATGCTTGGATTGGAATTTAACAACAGGATACGTACATTATTTTGGTGGTGATACTAGGTGCGTTATTTCATAGCTTGAAATGGTTTAAATTATTGCATAAATCTTTTTTACTTCCAATAGATGATATTTGAAATACGCCCAATCCATGTTTTTCTTGTTTTTTGCATTTCGAATTCTTTATCATTTTTTTGATCAAAGTTTTTTTTTTTCAATTGCATTTAGTTAGGCCATGCAAAATTAATTATTGGTTTTCATAACCCGGCCGGGTCAAAATTTGAAAATTTCAAAAAAATTTTTTATATGTTTTACTGTAATAACCGGGTGGATTTAAAAAAAAAAATTATATAAATTTTATAAAATTTTATATATGAAGTTTAAAAAAAAAAAGCCGGGCGGCCGGGTCTATTTAAAAGTTTCATGTTATGAAAACCAAGTACAGTCAGACCCCCCTAAATGCACCCTCCCTAAATGCACGTCTTCTTTTGGGCCCAACTAATATTACATCTATAGATTTTTACCTCCCTAAATGCAATACCTCTATAAATGCACGTGCTAGAGCTGGTCCCGACGACGTGCATTTAGAGAGGTCTGACTGTAATTAAATTTGTATGGCCTTATTTGTTTTGTTGGGGAAAATTTGATTATTTTCAATAAATTCTACTGCCTAAAAAAGTTAATATTGTTAGATTTAAAAAATTTTATAAATAAATAAAACAAACAACACCTTTTAAGTATTGCTGTATGGGGTGATTCAGAATTAAGGATCAGGTTTCTTTCTGTATTTATTTCGAAATCAGTGGTTCATAAATCTTATTTGTAGGCTTATTTATATAATAACTTTTATGATCGTGAATTTTCTTTCAAGACTTGATATCTTTTCATACATATTTTAAAATGCCTTATATTTCTGATCGACTATTACAATTAAAAACATAAATAGTATTTTAGAAATATTATACTGTAGAAGAATATTCTAATGATACTCATAAGTAATATTACATAATTATTTCGAATTATTAATAATTAATGTCTCCCAAAAAAAAACTTTAAACAAACCACTAAAGAAGAGAACTTAGTAGTTTTTTAACGAATAGTAGGATATCGATCTAATTCAATTGTTTGCAATAGTTCCTATGATAACAACAAATATAAAATTGTATAAAGCATCAAGCTTTATAATATTTATATTGGGATACCCCATCTACTGGCCTCCACTACCAAAACAAGGAATTCGGTTATCATAGATACCCGAATCAGTATAGCCACCAACATTACCTTTTTCAACTGTATTGATATAAGACTTTAACTATCTTATACCATTTTCAAAAACCCTATTAATAGTGGTTTTGATATATTGTTCATCGTCAATTGAAAAAAAGTATAAGGCATCCCCAACAGAGCTTCCTCCAGCTCTCTATCTAATTTGTCGTGCTCTGCTGTATCAAACTCGTTTTTCGTTTGCCCTCTTGCTTTCAACAATCCACCTGTTGAAATATGCTAGAGTTCAATGCTTACGCCCTGGCCAGCCTCCCCATATCTACCTTCACCCTTCTTTTTCTGGCCATTCATTACTAGCCTCAGTTGTGGGATGCGATATCTCAGCGGAAAAAGAGTTTCAACAATTCCTTGGAGAACTTCTTCATTAGTCAAAGCTAAAGACATCAGAGATCTTGTTAGTAAACCAATTTTTCTTTCCCGTTTTTCCCGTGAGATACTTGACAACTATAAAATTCAATATAGTAAGAAAGATTCTATTCTAGACAATTTAATTACTTGGTTTTCATAACGTAAAACTTTTTAATAGACTCGGCTAACTGGCCTTTTCTTTTAAATTATATATATTTATATATATAATTTATGTTAATTTTTTTTTTCATTATGACGCATCTTAACATACCCCACCCGGTTGTTAAATATATAAAAAAAAAATTTTTAAAAGTTTCAATTTATGACCCGGCCGCGTTATGAAAACCAATTAATTAATTTTGCATGGCCTAAGATGCAAGTGAAAAGTCAAATAAACTTACCTCTCATGATAATCCGATCTAGCTTCTTGATTCTTTGTCGCTTCTGCTTTACATTTTTGTTCACCTTTGTTAGAGATAATTTTCTTCTCAGGTGGGCTTATATGAGAGTTAGAAGATTTTTTAATGGGAACCATCCACCAAAGTTGAAGACGCATCGAAGGTTATCGAAATGGAATTGGAGTCGAAAAAGGTGATGAAAAGGACGAAAATAAGGCGCTCGGCTGTTATCAAAGATCTGTGAAGCTGGGTGATGCTAGAAGGACGTATCAAGACGGATATCGTTACATCTTTTATCCAATTCTACGTTACGTTTTTGTACGGATTTGCCGGAAGTAATTTTCTTAGACGGTTTAAACGTGTAATAGGGATCACATTTGTTAAAGGTTTGTTTTAAAAAAAAATGTCAAATTTTATTATATAAGTTACGCGTCATAAAAATTCTATCATGTATTTAATTGGTCAAAAATTGCTGATCATCACTTAATTTTAATAATCACAACATTCCCATCACCCATATGTTGTAAAATCATTGTGCAAAACCCAGATTGCATGTAGAAATTATGCAGAAATTGTCAGGGATGGCCTGTATTAAAGTTATGATATATTTCCTCGTGAAAACAATCTTAGCGAAATTTATCAAAAGAAGTATTTTAAAAAAAAAAACATGCTTGGTATATAAGTTTTCCGAGAATACGTGTTGCAGGACAATGGTACATGTCTAGAAAATTTTTTTATAAAAAAAGAAAGAAAAAAGAAATCTCTACGCCGTGTCACTAAACATTGGTTTATTATATGAAAACTATTTAAGCTTGTGAGACCTTAAATATTTTCTTTTGTCAGAATATTTTACATGGAAAATAAAAATAGGTTATAAAATTTTCTTTTCTTTTCTTTTTTTTGTTCAAATGTCCGAAAAATGTCCCCGTTACAACACTGTTTTCGATCACCTGTGCGTTATTTTGTAAACTCAATCATAACGGACTACTTGATAAATAATCGTTTATCCAACTTCACCCTTCTTTTTAAAATTAAAAAAAAAAAAATAATTGAGATTTTTTTAAATTTATTTAAATTTATGATTGATGTTAAAAAAAAAAAAAAGAAGCTAAATTATTAACTTAGCTATTTATATCTTATTTGATATCATACTGTACATAAAGTAAATATATATTTACTTAATTGTTATATTAAACAAAATTAATACCTATACTTTGATAATTATACCCGATATTCAAAATTTGTTTCATTAATTAAAATTCTAATACCTTATACCTTAATAATTATCACTTATTCATCTTCAGAATATTCCCTATAAATCTCTCTCAGAATAAAACTAACCGCATCTAAATCAGCCCAATAACACAAATGAGCTGTAATAGCATTAATATAGCTCACATCTAAAATACCCTCCTATAATAGTTCAAAATTAAATTTAAATGTGAAATAAGAGAAAACATTTACATTATATTTACTCAAAATACCTGTAATACATAATCAACCCTTCCTGTAATATTCAAGCTCTTAAGCTTAGCAGCACCAAGTGGATCTTCTTTCTCTTTCTTCACCACCTCATTTGTCGTTGGTGTCGGTGGTTGAGCATATTGTGTTGGTGGATAATTAGTTAATGCGGTACCATCGTTAGATTTATCAATCTCAGCGCTTATATCAGGAATTGATTCTGAGCGAGTATGTGTATTGGATTTTTGTTGTAATAACGATTGCAGGCCTCGAGTAAACATTAATGATGTTTTTACTGTCGAAAAAATATTAGTAGCTTTGTGGGCAATTCCAGATCCAAATTCCTGAATTCCAAGATGGACAGCTTTGAGACCACCCTTCTGATATGGAATTAAGGCAGGCTTCAGTGAGGAACCGTAATGACGTGCAATAAGTGGCTCTGAAATGAATATTGGTATTTAGTTCATGTATAACAAGATACGTAATTTATCCATATTAATTACCTAGGCGATATGCAATTGGATCTGGAAAAAAAAATATAACATTTAACAAAAAAGATGTAAGAGATACCATAATTAGAAAAAGAAATATAATTCAAACCTGCATTATGGAATAAATTATAAATATTCCTAACTTTTGGAAAGCAAAGTGGAATATTATTCTCTTCTGCTAACGGTAAGTCAACATCTTCATCTGATGTTGACTTTGAAGTCGTTTTGTCAACATTTTCATAATATTTTCTTGACCCAATTTTTAGTCCTTTCAATAAAAGAAATAACCCACTGGCAGATTATGGATTTTTAATTGAAAAATTAATTTATACGATAACAAATTGAAAACCTGTGATCAAAGTAGAGGAACTAGTAATAAACATACATGGGACTGCCAGCGCTAAAAAAATTCTGAACAGCGAAGTCAAGCTTGACAAAACTTTCATCGGCTCGTTTTGAATCAGATGTTGAAACACTTTCATTAATACTTGAAGGGATTGGAGGTTGATGACACAGAACATCAAAAGCCAATACAGAACCAAGTGAATGGCCATATAATGAAACCTTGCCCCCAATTTCAAGGAATTTTGGATTTCGTTGAATAAATAAGTTGTAAATTCTATTTGCTTCTCTAGTAACTGTGTTAATCATAACTTCTCGATATCGTGGAGTCATATACAATAATACTGATATATTTTGAGTAGTTAGCTAATAATAACAATATTAAATAAATTTAATCACTAACAATTAACATACCATCCATTAAAACATCAGAAATCAGTAATCGTAATGTTGGTACACCTTCTAATGTGATTTCATCTATAGTAAAATTTAAGATATTTAAATAAAAAATAAATAAATAATCAACAAATAACATTAATTAATAAAATATAATAAACACATACTTAGGGTTGTTTTTCCTTCTTCTACCGTTTTAGGTAAGCCCAAATCCCTTTGAAAATTGTCATCATCCGCCGCCATGCCGAACTTAATTTCACAAAAAAAGATTATTTATACATAATTTACAATAAGCTATATACATTTATTATTCAGAATTAAAACAAACCTTGATTTCTTCACGCCATAGAATAGGTAATACTTGAATCCCACTTCGAGAGCATTTGTCAGATAGAATAGAGTTACGCCTACTCGAATCTGTGCTTGATCCACCTTTCATAGTAGGATTTTGAGAAGTTTCAGGTGTATTATTCTTAGGAATGGACTTGAGAGTTTTTCTGAATGTGTTAACATCTTTTACAAATTCACAATTAATTGAAATTAGAATATAAAGAGTTAAAATATTTTTAATAAAATAACATACCATGAATGAAACTTATCCATTCGAGCCTTTCGCTCAGTTTTTGACCTATCCTTTAATATATAAAAGTCAAAAATTAAAGTATAATAACATTTCGACGATAAACTAATTAAGAAATAATTATTAACATACCCATGAATTACCAAAATAAGATGATCAATGACACGTTCTTCGCATTCACTCTCCTCATTCTCATAATCTTGAGTTTCAACAGCTTCCTGCTTTATGTCACTTTGTTGCTCATTTAATGTAGAAATGTTTCTGGCAACGGTTTCCGACGCCTCATCTTTTTTCTTTTTTTCAGTATCAGCATTTGGCTTTTGAAAAGTGTACTTTATTACTTCATTATAACCTCTGATAAGCCTAGTTCCACCCAAGTTTTCATTATTAGTGATGGTGGAGAAAAATGTTTTAGTAAGCCTTCCAGTCATATCGTCACTGAAAATTTATAAAAAAGAATTAATTAGAACTTTAATAATAATTTGATCCAAAAGGTCATTAAATATTCATACTTTAATAACCAAGCAGTTGTTGGATTCGTGTAAGTTACATATTGAGACAAATATTTTCCCAATAACGCCCAGCGTCGTTCTTTCTCTTTTTCAATCACACCTTCAGATGTTGTAAGGCTATTTTGATCTGATTCAGGTGATAGTATCCATGCTTGATATTTCCTGTCCATGAAGTCAAAAATAAACATAAATGAACATAAACACCACAATAATTTATAATAACAGAACACTTACTTATAACCTTCTTCAATTTGCATTGCTAAATTTTCATCACAAGGTATATACTTGTTAAGTTCAGCTTGTTGAAACCATGTTGCACGCCTGACTTCATAAATAGGACCAGACCAATATACCTATAAATGAATCGCAAGAATTTTAAGATCAAGAAAAAGAAATTTTATTTTACAAAAATATAAGAAAAAAAATAATAATATTTTCATCTTACCGGTTGAATTTCACGCTTATCAACATCAACCTCAAATAAATAATCTTCATTGCATGGTACTTTAGTTCCAGGAATTCCTGAACGATATGCTTGCTCTAATGCAGTTGCGTCACGCTTAGAAAATGGAACCCAATTTGTCGGTTGTTTTACTTTAGGGACTGGTTGATAAGATGGTGAATCTTTTGGAATATTATTGGATGTAGACTTGGTTTGTTCGGCTATAGGTACATCAACCGCATGAAACCTAAAAAAAATAAAAAAGATCAGGTTGAAATAACTTGGATATTGGTAAATTTTCAGAAATGCAAATATTACCAGTGCGCAGATGGTTCATAATAATCATTTGAAGACATATTTGAAATCAGATAGTAAGATCGAGATGTAAAAATGCAAATATACAGTATGAGTAAACGTGCGGTAAAATTTCTTGGAATTCTTTTATATTTATAACCACATATGTCAATTTATGACGTCATGAAGATCGAATGTTTTTCAAATTTCACATGAGAAATATTTTTTTCAATTCGAACCCGGACCAATTTTATAGATGACGTAATAACATTTTAGTCTGGATTCAACCATATACAGTACATATACAGACAATACGGAATTAACGGTAACCTCCGAAATAATTGCCTAACTTGTTAATGGATTAATTACGTATATGATGTATATATTTAAAAATTTGTTGTGCATGTATTATTATTTGCACAAAATTAACAATGGGTTGTGCAAATTGCACAAAAAAAATAGAATAACATTTACGTATAAAAAAAAATTAGAATTTTGCGTCATAACCTTGTATTGCAGTATTGAATTATCTTACTTTATAGTATACTGTATATTTTTTTTAATATTTAATTATACTGCATACATATATTAATAATATTTTCTTTTTAAGTGTTAGATGATTGAACATATTGGACATATTCATGCACAGATTTGCTTTATCTATTATATTGCAGCAACAGATCCTAAAAAAATATCTTATTGCCAGTGATCTCAAATGATTAGATAATTTGTACAGCATTTGAAGTGAATTTCTTGATTCATATAAAAATCATTTTAAAATCATTTGAACTTAAAAGGCTCAAATATAATGAATCGTAAATTTATTAATTGACTAATGAATCGGTTTTAGTATAAAATACAAAAAGTATCAATCATATAAAACGTGGAGGTTCAGTAATCGCTGCCCCAATCAGATTGTAAGAACAACGTGCGTGTAATACATGAATTCGTTGTCTTGATCTGATTGGAGAGCTTGGTAGAGTTTAGACGTTAGGTCACATGAACTTGACGTCAAAGGAAAACCTGTCATCGGACAATGATTTTCCATAGACGGCTAACTGTATAATTGAAATTCCGATGACAGGTTTTCTCTTGGCCGCACTCAAATAATGGGACTTGTAGATTTATTAGGCATTTATTATAAAAGGGTGTGAATTTATGTGATCTTTATTTTAGAGAGGAATTTAGAAAGCGTATGTTATGCTCAACCAAGGACAAGAGAGGCATTTATATATGTTAATTTCTCAGAAAGTGATCATAAAAATTAGAATATATACGCTATTTTTTTTGATACACAGATCTGAGCGTTTAATATTACTGATTTAGGCGTATACGCGATATTTTGAACGTATACACGTGGTTGTATATGCATAAATACAAACGTACGTACGTATGTGATAATGCCTAATACTACTAAAGGTAAGATTAACATGGCTACGATAACACAATAAGAATGACAAATACAGAAGTGAGAGACTCGGGACAAAATAATAGACACGTGTTGCGTGTTTTGGTTTTGATAAACTATAGATGTTTAATTAAATTTAAAATTATAAAGTAAACGTATGCTGATATGGCGTATTTTTATGTGTAGAACAAGTCTACTTAAGCATGGGGGACTTTCTCATTTTTCAGAAAATCACGGATTGTTATAAGGTAGTTAGCCAATAAAAAGCTGCCATTTTAACACGTGATATCATTTTTGTCAAAACAGATAGATAATCGTCAAACAATCAATGGGCATTATTCATATATTATAATTTTCTTCGAAGCAAAATAACCCACATTGTAAAAGAATTCAACTATTAATTCACGTACTAAAAGCAATTTTACAGTTGTAAAAACTTTATTTAAAAGGTTTGGTAGCAAGTTACAC